TTTTTTTTCAATTTTTCATCTGGTGTCCGATATTTTCATTATAATCCAACCGGATTTGAATTCTACTAGAAAGTTCTAGCTGAAACGCTCCCTAACAAAATCGATTAAATATCAAATTCAAAACCTCTAATTAAGAATAAATGAATATTTACCGCTCCACTCGGTCAGTACAAAATAATTAACTTTGCATTAACAATTGAACTACATAGAAACCGCGTGTACTTGAATCCCTTTAAAGTCGTAACGCAATGAAACTTGAATGCATACAAAAAAAACACCAGCAAGACGTGTGATGGTCATGGATAATCAAAATTATGACCAAAAATGTATTTTTTTATATTTAAAACATTTTTTTCCTTTTAAAAATATTAATTAAAGAAAGAACGTTGTTAGTTAATTATGTCTTAACATTTTCGGATGAATTAGAAAGTCACTGTTAACGAATTTCAATGTTCCTAACTTAACTAATTTTTGGTATTGCATTTATAGCTTTGAGATGACGAAAATCACTTCTAGAGCTACATCATTAACATGTTTAATTTTATAATGTGAAATACTTTTTAAATAGATCGAGAATTAGCTCTATTGACATGAACTATTTTTGTCATATTTTTTAGAAATCAAACCTAAAAAGGATTAAAAAATAATACTTTTATTATAGTAATAAAGGATTGTACTAATGCTACTCAGTGGCACATTTATTAGTACTAATTACTATTTTGGCAATTTGTACTAAAGTCGGTTTGGCAGAATTCAGTTCCACCTCTCTATCTAATATTCCTAAAAAAAATAAAATTATTGGAGGTAAATTCAAAGTCATTTTCGTATTTTCTCACTTGATCTGAGTAGAGATAAAAAGGGAAAAGGATCAAATATGTCCCTAAATTATATTCGAAAAGTTTTAGATGTCCATTTAAAGTTTGGTCCATACGTGCCCTCGTCGTCCAATTTTTGGTCCAAATATGTCCTTATGGGCGTTAGTTGTCATGGTGGACATATCCAATTCATTTTTCATTTCTTTAAATGCCACATGAAATTGTCATGTCATTTTGACCTACCACATAACATTTATACGAAAATGGAAAGATATTTGGACTCATAAACACCTAATCCGACCCATAAATCAGCTCCTTTTAAATTCACTATCCGACCATTTTTAACAATTTTGTTTAATTTTTATTATTGCGGTAAATCCCGAAAATAAGTAATTGATTAATAAAAATAGAAAAAATATAAAATTAACGCCAAAAAGTCACAAATAAATATAGTAACCTTAAATCTAACATTTCATTTTTTTAAATTTTTTATTTTTCGGTAAATCTAAAAAATAGTAATTGATTAATAAAAATTATGAAAAGTATGAAAAAAAATATATAATGAAAAAAAAAATTAACGCCAAAAGTTCACAAATAAATATAGTAACATTTCAGTCTATATTTTTTTTAAATTTTTTTATATTTTTTGGCAAATCCCGAAAATGAGTTATTTTTTAATAAAAAGGGAAAAATATGAAAAAAAAAATATACGTCAAAATTCACAAATAAATATAGTAAACTTAAATTCAATAATTTTAAAAAATATATTTTTTTTTTCATATTTTCCTATTTTTTATTTCTGAATTTTTTTGCACAATTTTTTATATTTTTTCATATTTTTTGTTAATAAACTCATTTTTGGGATTTGTCGAAAAAATTAAAAATTAAAAAAAAGTTGAAATTGTTGAATTTAAGGTTACTGTATTTATTTTTTTAATTTTTGGCGTTAATTTAATTTTTTCCCATACTTTTTATTAATCAATTACTCATTTCGGAATTTATCGAAAAATAAAAAAATATAAAAAAGTGTTTAAATTGAATTTAAGGTTAATATAATTATTTCTGAATTTTTGTGTTAATTTTAAATTTTTTTCATATTTTCCTTTTTTTATTAATCAATTACTCATTTTTGGAATTTATCGAAAAAATAAAATTAACAAAATTGTTGAAAATTGGTCAAATAATTTATTTAGAAGGAGCTTGATTTATGGGTCGAATTAGGTGTTTATGAGTCTGAATATCATTTCATTTTCATATAAATGTTACGTGGTAAGACCAAAATGACATGACAATTCCATGTGGCATTTAAAGAAATGAAAAATGAGTTGGATACGTTCAACATGACCACTAACGTATATTTGAACCAAAAGTTGGATGGCGAGAAAATTAATGAACCAAACTTTAAATGAAAGGTATATATTTAGAGGCATATTTTACTCTTTCTCCAGATAAAAATAAAATAAAATTCTGCATATGTATGGAGTTTTGAAAAAAATAATGTACGTTCGAACTATAAATTCTCTTTGCTAGCCTAAAGTAGACTCGTAGGGCTGGCTCATTATTATTAATGTATCGATATTAATGTTAATATACATATAGTGGTCACACTCTGCATTGTATTTGTACTCATCAATTAATATAATTATTATTTTTACCTTGTACTGGTATCACTAGCTACTAGCTGTAAAAAATGTTCATGTGCAATGCTCAAGTTTCTTTTACGAACTCCGTTTCAAAAAATAATGAATCTCTTTCCTGTTTATTTTGTTTAAATGAATAAATTTTTTTATAATATTTTAACATTTCATATGACATATTTAAAATTATAAAATTAAAAAGTATTTTAATATATTTAATATAATTTTAATTTAAAATCACAAAATTAAAAAGTCTTCTTTATTTTCTTAAATTTCATTCTAAATTAAATTATACATTCTCTTTGAAACAAAAGGAGTAATTTATTATAAATAATAGGCCACTATAACATACTCCCTTCGTCCGGTATAATTTGTCATGACTATAAAAATTTTGACTAATATTTTATGATATATTTTTTCATCATATTAATATACAAAAAATTGTAATTTATAGTACTTTTTATATAGTTTTAGAATATCTATTTTTTTTATAAAATATCAAATTAGTGTGATCCAATTTACTTTTAAAAATTAAGCAAAATAATTTTTAATAAGCATAACATGACAAACAATTCCGGAGAGACAAAATATAGGCTAGCCTGCTAAAATCCCTTGGAAAGTCGTGAAATTTAATGCATTATTCACTACAGCAGCAGAAGATTTTTACCATATAAATTTTTTATATAATTTATTTTTAGGGTTGTTCACGATTATGATAAAAATATTAAATTGAATCGCAACTTAATTCAATTAAATTGTTTAAGAAAAATAATGTTTGATTTTGTCTGCTTAAATTTGATTTTTAAACTTTGAAAATTGATATTATTTAATTTAATTTTAATTTTACTTAAAATTAAACAAAACACAAAAATAATCAAATTGAATTGAAAAATTAGATATATAAATTCCTCCATTTTTCTCTTTTCCCACCCACATTTTTTTAAAAAAATAACAATAAATCTAATGTTTTAAGTTATAACTGTAGTTAATTATAAAAATAAATCAGAAACTAAGTAACAATTACCTCTTGATTCTTTAAACTAGATTAATAATTAGTAAACATTTTTTAAAGTATAAGGACTAAGTAAAAGTAAATTGAGAGAATCATAGCTATAATCTAAACTTAGATTTAGAAAGTACAATATAGTATTTTGGTTTATTTTAACTAGATTAATAATTAGTAAACATATTTTTAAAGTATAAGGACTAAATAAAAGTAAATTGAGAGAATCATCTATAATCTAAACTTGATTTAGAAAGTACAATAAATGTATTTTGGTTTATTTTTCAGAAGGTGACTAACGCAACTACACAAGTATTACTCTTTTACCTACTATAAAAGTAGAAATTAAATAGTATTAGTACTAAACATTACCATATATATATATATATATATATATATAAATTAATTTTAAATAATCTAACTTTATTTATATCAATTTAATAATTGTAAATAAGGATTGCACTGTTATTAAACCTCTTAAACGAAGTTTATCAGAATTAATTAATGAATGAAAGAAGAATTACGAATGAAGGCCATATGGTGTTTGATTTTTGCCTGTATTTTCATTCTCTATTTGTGCGATAGTTGGGCTAAAAGAAGAATCGATACGAGGATTAGGAGAAGAAGAAGACTTTCATCTAACAACGGCGCCGTATTACCAATTTCTTCCCGCCACGCGCTGCCGTCCTCCGCCGCATCCCTACCTAATTTCAGCCACCACCAGCAGCAGCCGGCGGAATCACTCGAAGAAGATAATTATGAAATTTTGATTTTCATTGAAGGAAACGAAAGCGGAAAATCGAACATTAATGAGGAGAACGATTGCGCGATTTGTTTATCGGAGTTTTTAAAGGAGGAAAGATACGGTGTTGTTCCGGCTTGTACCCATAAATTTCACGCTGATTGCATTATGCTTTGGTTGGTAAGCAGCATAAATAAAAATTGCCCCATTTGCAGGACTCGTGTTTAATCAAGTTTTAATTATTATTTTTTATTCGATTCGATGTTTGATAAATTTTAAATTTTTTGTTACACACGTATCATAAGTGAATTAAATTACGCATAGTTGATTGTTATACTGCACATTGCACATTGATCATGTAATTATGGAGTTCTTACCTCTTTACTTCTTTTTGACTTTACTTCTTATAGATATTAGTGATTTACCTAATAATAGGGGTTGTTTTACGTTAATGAGATTGAGAAATAAATAATTTTGAATTTTTGAGTGCGTATGTTTTATAAGTAAAAAATTTAATTTATTAAGTTTTGACTTATGAATACACTTTCAATATTAAATTTTTATTCACAAAACAAACAAGGTCAAAGTTTAAATTTGTTATTTCTAATGTTAATTTTTTTTTTCTTCAGTTTTTGCTTTGTTGCTTTAACTAGACAATTAAAATATTTAGTTTTTCTTTATTGCTTTAACTAGACAATTAAAATATGATTCAGGCTGTTTCGAGTGATAAGATTAGTCTATAATTGAACAGTAAATTTTTTTAAATCAGATCGTGACAGACACAATATCTACAATTATAGAAGTTTATATACAAACACATTTCATATTTCTATTGATTCAGCATAACATAGTATACAAATATATTTTATGGATAGGTTACTTCCCAAGATGACATGGAATTTGATAAAAGCAATTTAGCTTATTGATTATGATCAAGAAGACACAAAATAGACAAATACGACTTTTGAAATGCTTTTCGTAAGGCATGCGAAAGGACCATGTCATTGCAAATTTGACAAGTAAAAATAAAAAATTACAATTACTCAAAAATCGAATTTTAAATTTCGAATTACATATGTCGATTAAGGCGAAACGTTGTTGGACTGTGAATTGATAGGAGAAGCACAACAGCTGCAACAAGATCCTGGTGTTGAAGGTTGACAACACACACAAGCAGGACATATTGATCTCCTCACAAGTACTTCTGTATAATTAAATTTGGATTACATAAAAGATATTATAAATGAATAACAACGATATATTTTTGATGAATTAATAATATGTATAATGAATTACCTCTATACACATTAGAACGAGCAGCAACACCTTCTTGGATTCCAGGAGATAAAATTAAACCAATAAAAACAAGGGTTATGACTATTAAACATCTTGGAATTATAGCTCCCATTTGAATTTTAGATGAGTAAACAAAACTAGGAGTATATTTTATAGTGCAATATTAGTAAATGGAAAATTAATGAACCTTTGAGAAAAATTGAAATAATGTGTGTTCTCACTCAACAAACTCAAGGTTGACTTTGACTACAAGTTAATTTGTTTAGGGGAATCTTCAACTTAATCAAATAGATTTGCTATAATTTTATATGCAATTGGAGGATTTATGAGCTTATCTTACTTTAATAAACATTAAATAATTGAAAAGTCAGCAATTGCGACTGCAAATTTAGAATAAGTCTTTAGTTTAATTTTTTTGGGGCAGATTTTCAACTCTCAGAATAATACTCTGGTTTATGCCGCAAAAAATTTCCACATCAAAAGTTTGACTTTTTTTTTAAAAAAACTAATAATATAAGCGTATTACATAAATTTCATCAATTTTAATCCATAAACTTTAAAAATATAAAAAGGAGACAATTTCTCCTTTTGTAATTCTTCATTCATTTGGCCCGTGGTAATGGCGGAGGAGAAGATTTTGAAGAATATAATTCAAACGAATTATAATTCGAATTCATAAGTTACAAAATATGTCATTATTTAAAATTAAATTGGTAAACTAAAATCCATTCATTTTAATAATTCTAAATAAAATAGGAGTATGAAAGAAAAAAGAATTAAAGCAACAATAATTTTAAAAAGTACATCATATCAAAAAAAAAAACAAAAAAACTTAGTACCTAGTAAACTAAACACCCTTTTTTATATTATTTACTTTCATAGATCCAATGTTATTCACACACAAACAAAAATTCAATTGACCTAAAATACATTGCCAAAAACATTAATTACATGAGCAAATTATTTTCTTGTTATGTAGAAATCATCACACAATATGTCTCTGATCTTCTCATCATTAATTTGCTTAATTCCACGATCACGGCCGGTCCACGGCGGCCTTAAACGGAACGAAACAAGCGCAGGCGCAACACGACGGCGTATTTGGTTGGCAACAGATGCAATTCTCACATTTTGGTTCTTTAACCCCAAGTTCTGCACCAATCACCATCAATTCGTTTTAAAATATTTTTAGTCCTTAAGCCAAAAATTCTAGTAAAGGGATTCAAAAATGAAAATGTTACACTAAAATTTTCAATTCAATAAGTTATATATATATATATATATATATATATCCTTATATTACATAATATGATAAATTAATGTTATTCGATAGTAAATTACCTCGACGAGTCAGTCGATCGGCGTTGCTGGGCACAGCCGGAGATAAAACTAGCATAAACATAATGATTGTAGCCACAAGAGTTTTCTCAGAATTCATAGCCATTACCTTAGACTAAATTTTGATAAAGTTATGATAATGTTGTTAATTAAGCATACACTAATTTCACTATATTAGTTATTATATATAGAGAGCTTGATGATGTAATAAGTTTATGTTTATAATATATGTTGCTTGATACAACAAGGCAAAAATCAATCACCATTTTTATTTAAAGTATACGATGGAGGCTTTAATTAAATATACCACCCTGTTGGAATTGTTTTAATAAGTGAATTAGAGATTAAAAGACAAAAACATAGTTTGGAATAAGGTTGGGTCTAATGTTTATTTATATATTGCTCAGTCCTATCGATAAAATATTAGACTGTCATTTAAGTTTGCAATATCGTAAAAATCTTGGTATGTGATATAACGATAACATATGAAATAAACATCAGAAAACGATTACTTGCCATTGTTTTTTTCTAATTTCAATTTTCTTCACATTAAATCAACAATAGCATCCTGTTTTACAGATGCTCTATATGTACAATCAATTCTTTACATGTCTTTGTTAAAAATTAATTATATGAACTGGCATTTGTTCTACTGCTACTATTTCACCTAGTTTCTAGAGAGTTTCAAATATTTACAATTCTGCTAGCTAGTCATCGAAATGCATTAATCACGTGCTTGGAATTGACTTGTGTGACAAATTTCAAACAATTTAATTCTGGGTCTGAAAATTTACAAAGTCAGGTCATTTCTTAGGTAGTTACAAATATAAATTTCTTCATCATCATTAATCAATATTCCAATCTAATAAAACAGTAACTAAACTTATACTATTTCTGTTCATACTATTTCAATTTAGATTTTCACTTGTCACTTGTAACATTAACATATCAAAAAAAGACAAAAAATAAAAAATAAAAAAATCTTTGTCCAAATGTGATCAGTAAAAGTGTACAGAAGGAGTTTATAACAGGCCAGGACAACTTTTGAGTTCAACAAGTTGAGTTTTTGTCAAGTGTAATGGAGAAATTAAGGTATGGTTGAAATACTGTTCAATAATTATTTTTTTCAATGATATAATAAATGCAATTCGACCTTTGAACAGTTAGAAACTAAAGAGAAGAATATTGCAATTGAGGGCCAAAATAAATGAGTCAGTTGCTCATTGCAGCATTATAGACTTTGAATTGTTCTTCTATAAACAGTTGAACTCCTTATTCTTTAGACTTTGAATTGTTCTTACACTTGCGTAGTTATACTGCAAAGATACAAGTAGTCGAAATGAATGTGATATTTCTCAGTTTGAGTTTGTAACAATGGAATTGTTTGAATCTGACTTCAATAAATTACTGTGTTGCTTGATGTACATTGTCAAACTTCCTGATGGAGACAGAAAAGATGAGAAATTATGCAATTATCAGTAACTTCAGACTTACCATTTTTACTTCAGACAACCTTGTCTAAGTTCTTGCTCCTATGCAACAGTTGACACACCACTCCCTTCTCATACCTTCATTCTCTTAGACGGGCCTTGATCAATAATAGGATCAATTGGAGGCGGCTGAGTCTCTGGTTGCTGGTTTTCAGAGGGTTCTGAAGTGGAAGGGGGTGCATAGCCTTCTGGTAAAGGTGGAGGCAGAGGTACTGCAGGAAGCTGCACAAATAAAAATAAGTATCTCCATTTTAGAACTTGATCTATTGAATTTCAACACAAATATCCCCGTAAATGAAGCCTGGGATTGCAAATAAAATTTCAGAATACTTCCAAGATAACTACTTCACAACTCAAATGAAGCTACTTGACTTAAGATTAAGATTGACGACCTCATACTTTTAAAATGAACTGGACAAGATTAATTGGTTAATCTAGGGTAAGAAAGCTCCATGCAGACCATACAAGGAATTACATTTACCTTCCGCTGTAGAGAAGCAAGGATGTGATCAACTCGCTTAAGTTCCTTGAAGTCGATGGCCTCTTTGGCGGGCTTAGTTTCAGATGCTTGGCTATTGTTTTCCGACTCCACTGCAAAAAGAATTTATTGAATGGGATCAACATAATGAAATAATAGTAAAAATGATAGAAATGACATTGCAAGCTGAACGTAAGATTATTGATTTAAACAATATAAGATTTATACATACTGCACACAAGTCCAACTTATCGTAAGACATCTAAACACACCCAGGTCTGAACTCCCGACTTTCAACCTGACAACTAAATGGCTATGTGTCGTAATAAGAAATTCAGTGTTAAAGTAGCCTTCTGAAATTTTTTGTTTTCATTCAAGCCCTTAAAAGGAACTAAAGAATAAAATAAACTTGTTGTCTACTACTTCATCTTCACCTCTTTTTGGGTTTTTTTTTTTTTTTTCTCTTTTTGGGTTGGGGTGGGTGAGAGTGGGGGAATGGAGATTTGGGTGTTTGCATAACTCAAAACCCTTTCTTTGTAGATAGCTAGAAAAAATTCCAGTAACGGCACACTTTTCTCCAAAGCACCCACATGCACAAAAAAAAGGGTTTAAAGGATGGAAAATTTAAGGAATGAGATATCAAGATACCATATCCAATCTTTTCCAATTTTGAGGATGCAGTACCGAAAGCTTTTGATATATGATATAGAGCACGCCCCTGTCAAATAAGTAAATGAACATCAATTGCTTTTTATATTCCATCAATGAATTATTCGACCCACACAAAATTAATATGTGATATCCATATCGCAGAAAAAAGGGGGACAAGTTTTCCCCATAAAAGCAGAAGAGTACTTCAAGCATATCAAAAGTTCACACATATTACCTGCTTTACACAATACTAAAGACAGATAAATACAGAAGAACATTGTAACCAATTCTGATCCTCATTGCATTATCCCTCTAAAGTTTCCTCCCTATGAATTTTTTCAGATGAAATTCCTTTTTTCTTTTTTTAATGATAAGGGAAATGTTGCTACTCGGGTTTGAAACAGAGACCTTTAAATAATTAATCACATGGAATTCCTGCAGTTTCCTCCAATTTCAACTTCCTTTTTAACTCTAATTCCTTTGAAATCCTATAAAATTAGAAGAACCCCATCCACAGACCGAACCACATTACCTAGCTGAGATCTTCCAGAGATAGCTTACCAAATTTCTTCATACAAAGAACCTAACATGTCATGCCTACTTCAAAAGTTCCTCTTATGAGTCAAAATACGCAGTAATTAAAAATCAATAACCAAGAACCAGACCTTGGCGTGTACTATCTTTAATAGCATCTAGTGCCACAAATAACTCACATTAAAGGCATACACATCAAAAGCAAAAATAAAGGATCAACAGTGATCTTTCCTAAAGTACTAGTACAGGAGACAGAGCTTCATTTCCTCACTGCACAGAGAAGTTCAAGTGACTGAACAAAACCATTGTTCCCGTTTACTCTCATCCGTCCAGTCTCTCATCATCTTGTACACATAAATCCTTAGGAAGCCATGCTTTTGTAGTTTATTGAGTTTTAAATAAAAAAAGAACAGATCCTAAATTATTAAAATGGTACTTTCTGCAAACTTTTTTATGTTGATGAAGAAGGATTTTTTATCTAACTCTGCTTTGTATGTTCACCACCCTCTGAGGGCTTCAATGTTCTTAGTTTTTTGCAAAGCATTCAACAGTTCCAAAATAAATTCCTTTCTGAGGGCAAGGAAATTATTGCACACCTGGTATGGATCACCCACAGAAAGATCAGATGTAAGCACCAGATCAAAACCAATCTACTGCCAGGAGTATGAAATAGTTTTTTCCTGGATAAATCAATAACACATGATTATTGAATTTTGAACAATGACCTTCTAGGTGAT